CTAAACCCTAAACCTAAACTAAACTCTAAAAGCCGTGAACCCTACAACTCCCATTAGCCCTACCAGCCCTAAGCCCTAAACCGTAAATCCTGAACCCCACGCCACGCCTTAAATCCTAAACCCTAAACCCCAAATGAAACCCCAAGTCCTAAACCCTAAACCCTAATTAAACCTTTCCGAATTCCACCTTAAATCCTAAACCCTGAACCTCAGAGGGTCCCTGTAATCTGCCGGATTCGGGCCCTGCACTTAAAGGCTCAGGGGAGCAAGTAGGCCTCAGATTAAGGATTGTTTTGGGTGTTTTAGCCTCGCTGACAGGATCAGGCGACTTGTTAAGTGAGGTTCAAAAGTAAGGTAATCGTTTCAAGTATGTATAGCCCGTTAATGACACCAATCTGGGTGCTTGTAGCCTTACTTACGAGGTCCCTTGCTTTCCCAAGCCCTACTTGGAGGTTCATGGGTAGTTGTAAATGGTTATATGTGGGGTAGCTATAGCTATAACCCATATTAAGGGACTTATAGCCCTACGTATAGCTACCCATGAACCTCCAAGTAAGCCCTAAACCCTCGAAAGAACCCCGCCAACGAAAGAACCCCGCCAATGCCCTGAGGTTGAGGATCTGCTGCAGGAGCGACTGCACCCGGATGCAGGCTATGATAAGTGGAATTGGGAAGGCCCACGGGTGCTTTGTGGGGGATGCTTGTAAGGTGAGTTTAGGCAGGGATTTGAGGGCTTACGGTTTTGGGTTTAGGGTTCAGGTTGGAAAGAAGCAACATGAGTGGGAATGGCTACTTGGAGGTTCATGGGACTAAGGTTGTAAGTACTTCACTTAACCTAGCCCAGTCTCGGGAAGAAGCCTAAAATCCCCCTTATCGAATCCTTATAGATCCCTTTATAAGGACCCCTTTAAGGAACCTTAGCTTCATGAAGAAACCCCAAACCCCCCTTGACAGAACCCTTGTAGATCCCTTGAAGGACCCCTTTAATGAACCCTAAAATCCCCCTTATCGGACCCTTATAGATCCCTTGAAGTACCCCTTGATGGAAGCTTAGCTGCTGAGTCCCAGGGTCCTCCACTTGGAGGATCATGGAACTTAGTAAGTAAGGTTATAAGTCCCTTGAGTGGGGAAATAAGTAACTAGAAGTACCTAAACCCCCCAAAGTAGGCAAAATAATAACCCAAAGCCCCAAAAAGGCCATTGATTCTACATGCTTTGGGGGTCCAGGTATAGATACCTTAGTTATAGCCCTACT